CATGCATCCGGTCACCCACCCCTTGGTTGGTTTTGGGGGTGGGATGGTCTACCCAGCCGGGAGAATTGATTTACCCATCCGGCTGGGAGAGAAAGGCCAGGGACGACATATTGTCGTCAGATTCTTGGTCGTTAAGGAGTTGACCGCCTATAACATCATTCTTGGCAGGCCAACCCTCAACGTAGCCAAGGCAGTAATTATCCCTTCCCTCATGCTCATCAAGTATGAGAGGGATGACGGCTCTGTTGGTTCCTTGAATGGGTATCAGAAGACGGCCCGAGAATGTTATCTCTCAGCCGTCCGAGATACCATGGCCCCAGGCGGTCAGGAACCAATAGACCTTGACAACGTCAAGGATGCCGACCCAGCTCCTGCCCCATCAGCAGCCGGAAAGAAAAGAAAGGATCCTCTGCTGGTGGAGGTGAAGAAGGAGAAAAAATAGCAATCACTGACCGGTGAGCGGTCAGATGAGCTCCGTCCCCAACCGACTGGAGAAAGCATTGATCTCGTTCTGGATAACAGCTGTCCAGAACGTACCGTTAAGGTTGGGACGGTTGCTCATGCTACTTTGGGTGCAAACTTGCACCTTCTGCTGAAGGAATTCAAAGACATCTTTGCCTTTGAAGTGGAAGAGATGCCAGGCGTCAGCCCGGATCTCGCTGTCCACAAACTCGCCGTGGACCCCAAAAAGAAGCCCATCCGGCAAAAGAAAAGAAACCACGGCAAGGAAAGAAGTCAGACGGCAGCTGCCGAAGTCAAAAAGCTGCTAGACGCCAGGTTCATTCGGCCTTGTAATTTTCCCGACTGGGTGGCCAATGTGGTCCTCGTTAAGAAACCGAATGGGACCTGGCGCATGTGTGTTGATTATACAGATCTCAACAAGGCGTGTCCAAAGGATAGTTATCCGCTTCCAAAGATTGACAGTCTGGTCGATTCTACAGCCGGTCACGCCTTGATGAGCTTTATGGATGCCTACTCCGGCTTCCATCAGATACCCCTGTGGAAGAAAGATCAAGAGAAGACGGCCTTCGTCACTGATCAGGGGCTATTTTGTTATACTGTGATGCCGTTTGGCTTGAAAAATGCGCCTGCCACTTTCCAACGGATGATTAATACGGTCTTCATTAATCAGATTGGGAGGAATGTGGAGGCGTACATTGATGACATGATAGTCAAATCCAAGCTACAGACGGATCACCTTGCTGATCTCCGAGAAACATTCACCACCCTCAGGCGGCATAAGGTTATGTTAAATCCTAAGAAATGCGTCTTCGGTGTTGAGTCTGGGAAGTTTCTCGGATTCCTGATTGATCAAAGGGGGATAGAGGCTAACCCCGAAAAGATACAGGCGGTGATTGACATGAAGTCACCCCGCTCTATTAAGGAAGTTCAGAGACTCACCGGTTGTCTGGCCGCCCTGGGGAGGTTCCTCAGCCGGTCAGGTGACAAATGCCTATACTTCTTCCAAGCAATCAGGAAGAAGACCAGATTTGAATGGGGGGATGATGCTGAGGCGGCGTTCCAGAGGTTGAAAGAGCATTTACATTCTCTGCCTAGGTTGGTCAGTCCTTTGCTTAGGGAGACGCTGTACATGTATTTAGCCGTCTCAGACCATGCCCTCAGTGCCGTTCTCCTTGCTGAGCGAGACGGCGTGCAGCTCCCGGTTTACTTCATTAGCCATGTTCTTAAAAATGCTGAACTCCGGTACCCCATGGTTGAAAAATTTGGCCTCGCTTTGTATATGGCATTCAAAAAATTGAAGCCTTACTTTTTGGCACATCCGGTGGTGATTTACACGGACCAGCCACTCAAGCGGCCAATGTCTACCTTGAACTCATCCGGGAGAATGTTGAAATGGGCTATTGAAATGCGGAGCCTTGAAATCACTTACGAACCAAGAAAGGCAGTGAAAGGTCAGGCGTTTGCCGACTTCATTGTGGAAATGACTCGTCCGGTGGCTCCGGATAATCTTGATCAGGTTTGGAAAGTGTACGTAGACGGGAGCTCTACAAAGAACGGCTGTGGTGCAGGTGTAATTTATGAGTCTCCTGAAGGAGACAGATTTGAATATGCACTACGCTTCAAGTTTCAGGCCTCTAATAATGAGGCGGAATATGAAGCCCTGCTAGCCGGCATACGCATGTGTAAGGTGGCAGGGGCCATGAAAATTGACGCCTACTCTGATTCTCAATTGGTTGTTAGCCAGTATGAGGGAAGTTATGAGGCTACTCATCCGGCTATGATTAAATATCTTCAGGCAGTCAAAGAAGAGATCAAGGCACTTGAGGAATTCCGGCTGAATCAGGTGCCTAGGTCGGAAAACAACCAGGCGGATGCATTGTTAAAGCTGGCATCTTCCGCCTGCCATGATACGCCTTGGTTAGTCTTCTGGGAAGTTCTTGAAAAGAGAAGCATCTATGAGGATCCCGTTGGAATTCTGGACCGAAGCTCTACCTGGATGGATGGCATCCGGGCCTATCTCTCAGACGACAGACTTCCTGATTCGCCACAAGAAGCAGCCATCCTGAAAAAGCGAGCTGCAAGATTCGAGTTGAAAAATGGATAACTCTTCAAGGCGGGGTTTCTAAAGCCTTTGTTGAAGTGTGTCACCCCAGAAAAGGGGAAAGAAATTCTCGAAGACTTGCACTCGGGATTCTGCGCCTCTCACATAGGCGGCAGGTCCCTAGCCGTCAGAGCCAGACGACATTACTTTTGGCCCACTCTTGAGGCGGACGCCAAGGAGTTGGTGAAGAAATGTGACAAGTGCCAAAAATTTGGCAAACTCATTCACCGTCCGGCTACTGATCTGACGGCCATCCACAGCCCAATCCCGTTTGCAAAATGGGGCACGGACATTCTAGGTCCTTACACGCCTGCTCCAGGCGGAAAGCGCTATATCTTAGTGGCTGTGGATTACTTCATCAAGTGGGTTGAGGCTGAGGTGGTTAAAAACATCAAGACCTCAGACGTAATTTCCTTCATTTGGAAGAACATTATCACCCGGTACGGGGTACCCATGTCTATGGTTTTTGATAATGGTCCTCAGTTTGAGACGCCTCAGCTAAAAACTTGGTTGGGAGGTCAGGGGATCTCAAGCTATTTCGCATCTGTTGGCCGGCCCCAAGCAAACGACCAAGTTGAAGCTTTTAACAAACTCATCTCAGACGGCATTAAAAAGAAAATAGAAAGAGCTGGTGGCTTATGGGCAGAAGAATTAATCCATGTCCTGTGGGCCATCCGGACAACAGCGAAAGGGGCAACCGGTGAAACCCCATTTCTCATGGTTTACGGTGCTGAAGCCGTCTTTCCCATCGAACATTACGAGCCGACTCTCAGAGTCATGCTGTATGATGAAGAGGCAAACTGGGAAGCAATGCGCCTGGCATTGGATTCACTCCCAGAACGCAGGGGCAATGCCGCCTTGCGTCATGAGATTTACCGTCTGAGAATGACGAGAGCCTACAACAAAAAAGTACACAAGCGTCCCTTGAAAGTTGACGACTTAGTGTTACGAAAAATGGAGGCAACCGGTAGGGCCAATGAGTGGGGAAAGCTAACCTCAAATTGGGAAGGCCCCTACCGGATCTATGAAGAAGTAAGGGACGGCACCTACCGCCTGGAAACTCCAGACGGAAGGCGCCTGCCTAGAACTTGGAATGTAGATAATCTAAAAAAGTACTACTTCTGAGAATGTAAACTTTTTGTAAACATTGTCAGTTAATGAAGATTCAGACTTTGTTTGCAAAATTATCGTTTGATTATCCATCCGGGTAATATCCAGGCGGATTCCTCATTTACCTAACTAAGTTCGATACTTAGTGAAGGTTTCATTTGTTAGTCCGCCTGGGTAATACTCGGATCTCTTGTTTATTTAAGTTTGATTTTGTTTATTCAACTGCTTGATTATCCGCCTGGGTAATACTCAGACGAATTCTCCATTTATCTAACTAAGTTTGATACTTAGAATGATACTATCCACCTGGGTAATACTCAGACGGATTCTCCATTTATCTAACTAAGTTTGATACTTAGTATGATCAAATATTTGTCTGTCCGTCTAGATATTACCCAGACAGACTCGTATGCTTAAAAAAAAAAAAAACTAAGTTCGATACTTAGTGTAAATTCAACACTGATTAAGAAACTAAGCACAAAAACGTTTAGTGGCTACACAACCGGTCTCAAAAAGGACCAGAGGCTAAAATGGCCGGATGGTTGCTATTTTTATAAAATCGCCTGTCCCAACATGGACAAAGGCGTCCGGCGACACCCCTCATTTGGGGCAATCACTACTATGATTGATTGACTTACAAACATATCATGCTCTTTGCAGCATCAGACGTTTCCAAGTCAATCAACCAGCTCCAATTGAAACCAATCACACAGCCGTCTAGGGGCAAGGACAGCCGGACTACTGATTAGTTAGGCAAGAAATCGCCGCATGCTTTTGATAAGTTAGGGAAGAAATCGCCGCATGCTTTCGATAAGTTAGGCAAAAATTAAAATTTGCAAAAAACAAAAATTCAAATGCTAAATGATCAAAACCGACCTAGTCAGTGCAATTCATAAAAGTCCATCCAACAAAATGGTTGTAATGGATCAAATGTTAACCGGACCCCGTCCGGGAGAAAGAAATTGTTAATTAACCCGGCTCCATAGCCGGTAAAAACACAAATACTCGGCACGAAGGCCGGAAAAAGCAAGTTTTGGCATACAGCCGCTGAATAAAAATTAAAAAAGCAAACTGGCATACTGCCGCTGAGGGGTCACTTCTGGCTTACGGAGGGAGCCTCCTGGTTCTCCCCCTTCTCATCATCTGAGGGAATTTAGTGCGCTTCACCGGGACCAGGAAGCTCAGGCGCGGTTGGCTCACTGTTGCTGAGCCAGGCTTCAAAGGAGGCAGGCTCTGGCTCACCTTGCTCTCTCAAGTACACCACGTACTCGGCATAGCTGTTTGCCATTGCCCAGATGCTATAATCAGCTTCTGGGTACAAGGCAGCCTAAGCAATCTTCATACGGGCGTCGTTGTCAGCATCACTATCAGCAACAAGGCGGTTTTGCTCCGCCTCCAGGGTTGTTGCAAAGTTTTTCAGAGCTTGAGCAGCATCCTTCTCCAGCCTCTCAACCTTGGCTTTCAGTTTGCCAAGGTCCGCCTGGGCCTTCTTGAGCGCCTCATCAGCCTGCTTGGCGCTCTCGTCTGCCTTCTTCTGGGCCTCCTCCGCCCCCTTCTTGGCCGTCTCAGCATCCGTTGCCCGCTGGTCGGCCGCCTTCAGATCTAGCTCCAGCTGCTGGATTTTAGACGCCTGTGTTATAATTATTGCTTTAGTTTCAAGTTCATTTACGATAGTCGAGTGTAAAGCAATATTATCAGCGTCTATGGCGGACTTCTTGTCCCTTTTTACCTCTTCCCGTTTGCGGGAATAAGGACGTTTGAGCCCGTCCACCCGTAGCATGGCCTGCAAAAGCAGGCGGTATAAGAATTACAGGCAGGATAACTACTTGGAAAAAATAACATTGAATTGACAAGTTTCTTACCTCAGCCAGAAGGGATAAAATGTGTTCAAGATTCAACGTCTCTATCCCAGGGATATTGTCCTTATCCCTCTTCCGGACGGCATCCAGCATGGCCTTGGCGTGCTTCTGGACGTCTGGCCAGCGGGGAGATTGATCTGCACCACAATCAACACGTGATGAGTGCGAAACTAAGGCAGCACCTATCTGTTGCCGACCGTCTGAGGATGATGTCTGTTGGGAGTGGGATTTCACCCGTAAAGGCCACCCCAGCTCAAGCGGGGATTCAAAAGGGTTCTTACCTTCAGAGCCGGCCAAGCGGGAAACGCTTGCAGGCGTGGTGAACCCCGCGGCTGCTGATAAGGGGTTGACAAGATCAAGGCACACGCTTCCGCCTACCTTCTCGAGCCGCCCCGCTACCCGCATCGTCTTAGCTCGGCTGAGGCGCCAGGAGTTGACGCAGAGGTGGACTTTTTTATTTTATTGAGAACGGCTGGGGCCTCCTCTCTAGCCCGTCTGAGATTCTTCTCAAACGATTTCCCAACTTCTCCCCCCTGTGAAAATACACAAGTAAAGGTTAGTATCCGGGCAAGACAATTTATAAAATAAACTTAAGACAGGGTCAGGCGATCAATACCTTGGCCCTGAGCTCGGCCGCAGCTTTCTTCGCAAGATCTTTGCGGATGGTCGCAGAAGACCGCTTGGGAGTTTTCTCCGACTACAACATGTTTAGCGCTTCTTCTGCAAAAAAGAAAGAAATTGATCATAAATCAATTCCGATAGAAAAATACTACAGACGGTGTGAACCCAGGCGCATACGTTTATTAAACATGTGCCCTAGCCCGTAGGCAGCTAGGAAACATTCATCCCTGAACCAGGCGCTCTTGGTAATCCAATTCTTAGGAACTTTTATTGTTTCCCCGGTTGACAGAGTTGCGTCTGTGAGGCCGAAAAAGTCTGCCTCGATTATTTTGTCAAAGTCTTCCTCTGGGATCCGGGGAAGAGCACACTTCCTGCCCAACAAGTCGGGATTCTTATTATACAGACGGAATTCATAATTTTCCCGTCTGGTTGGGGCTGACATCAGGTAGAACCTGTGCTTCCAGCCATCGAACTTGGAGACCTTGTCCAAGGTCATCATGTATTGCGGCTGTGTGGTTAGAGTATACCACGCCCTCCAGCCGCCTGGGCTTCTGCTGAGATAATGCATGCTTGCAAAGGCCTCCCAGCCGGGGTTAAGCCCTTGGAACTCGCAGGCGGCAACATACCCCAGAATGTTGGTCCAGGAGTTGGGGGTAAGTTGCCAGACCCCAAGGCCGTAGCCTCTCAAAATTGCCTTCACCGCCTGGTGAAGGGGGAAGCGAAGGCCGGCCTTGAACGCCGCCTCATAACAGCCAAAATAGCTGTTGGCGTTCTCTTGATCATCCCCCCAAGCGATGGTGCCCAGCTCAGGCGGCACCCGAATCTTATACCCGTCTCCAAGCGGGTGCATTTTCTTAAAGTTCTCTAAGTTCTCCCCCATCTGGATTCGGTCCTTGGAGGAGACGTGGATGCTGAAGGGATCGTCCTTCTCATTCCACTTTTTCCTTTCTTCCTCCTCGCTATCCGGAAGAGGGGGCAAGTCATCGGTGCTCTCGGAGGTAGAGGCGGAGCTGTCGCTCTCCGTCTCCCCCTCGCTTTGGTCCATGGGGGCAGAGGCGGCCTCGTCGCCGCCTTGGTCACACTCTTCCAAGAAAGAGTCAGCAGGGGTTGAAGGGGCGCGCGGAGGGGATCTCTCCAGAGCTGTCTGGTCTCCCTGACCAGACGATTCTCCCTCAGGCGTTTGGCCGTCTGAGCCTTCGCTTCTATAATTCGGATCAGTGGCCGTCTGCATTGTCCGAGCCATGGTGTCCTGCACAGACACATAACTGGTCGGAATCCATGGCAAAGGGTGGTCCCAACACCCCGAGCCGGCACTCCCAGTCCTAGACTCAGTCGTCCCTGGTGATCGGCTGGACTCTAACCTAGGCTGTGTCGTGTGTGTTGGTGATGCATCCATTTATTGCAAGAAATATGTACAAACGGTGAAAAAAAGAAAAGAGGTGAGAGAGACAGAGACGGTACCTTTGGATTTGATATCTGAAGGAAGGCGGGTCCGGCTGGGTTGCGGAAGAACAAAGTTTCTTGCTCGCGCCTGACTAAAACGGATGTCTTCTGCTCTCTCGAAGTTTCTCTCTAGAAAATTTTTGTAAACGTACAAAATTATGAGGGTAAAACGGCTATATATAGAGGGTAAATTTGGGGGCATTTCCGTAATTTTCCCGGAAGATGAACGGTTACTCTATAACGGTAAAATTACCGCCAGCCGGAGCGTGACATGTGTCACAGATGCCACGTGGCGTGCCACGTCACATCTGTGAGGGGCAAATGTTTAGGGTGATTTTACCCTGCCACGTGGCCCAATCAGAAGGTGACACGTGTCAGCCCCAGATTGGTCTAAAATGGAACAATCCCTGCTCGACACGTGTCATTCCCGAAATTAAGGGAAAAGGCGGCCTTCAGGCCCAAATCCCGAGAATGCCGCCAAACGGCGCAGCCCACCAATGATTAGGGTTCAGTAACCTAATCAGGGGCACTATTCCCAAAGACCCTATAAATAGGGAGATGTCCCTCATTTTAAGGACTTGTTTTTATCATTTATTACACAATTACTCTTTGATAGAGACATCCGGAGCTCGGAAAAATCCGAGCAGATCCCCACCTAAATTTCCGCACCTTTTTCTCCCTTTAAGTTTCTAACTTGTGCGTCGGAGGCGGAGCACCACCCAACTGGTGTCTCCGTTTGTTTTGCAGGTATAGCTCACCCCGGATCAGTCTTCGTGTTGTAACTCTCCCGAGGGACAAAAACACCCAAAACACCTCCGATGCCGAAGTCAAACAGTGTTTAGAGAGAGAAAGCTATGCAAGAGATTTAGTGCTTGAGGCTTTTGTGTGTTAATCTACCAATGAATGAATTGAAGGCTTTTATACCTTTGCACATGATGAGAGGAGAGTAATTGGGCCTTTAAATAGTCATGGGCTGACCATGGCAATTCGGACCAAAGGACTCTTGGTTGACTCGGCTTGATTGGAGGCTCGGGCCTTGACCTTGGAATATGGAGTCATTTAGTGACCAGGCCCAATAAGATAATTGGACCCAAATACATGACTAGGCCCAATTAGATAAATTGGACCCAAACAACTTGCCCCCCAGACCCGATTTGGAAGGATGACGGGTCGGGTTTGAATCCAATAAGAAATGGAGGGAAGTAAATGATTTAATTAAATCAAAAGATTTAAATTTTTAAACAGTTATTAATTAAATAACTGTAATTTGGATAATTAACAGGAAGTGGAGTGGATAGTGGGCGGTTAATCAAGAGAGAGAGAGAGTGTTTAACGGTTAATTAAGGAGGCATTTAAGAGAAATTTGAACTTTTCGACCTTTGGGATTCTCCTTCCTGGAATTATAAGGCCTGATTCGCATTTCAACCTCATTTCTTCACCAACTTACACTCAAATTCTCGCGCAAACCCATCTTCGCTCCGAATTTCCAGCGTACCCTCCTCGAATCCGAGTTCGATACTCAAATCCATTGCTTCCACTGGTTTGACCGGCGTATTCCGGCCAATTTGAAGGTAATTTTCCTCGAGCTTTTTCGATTTTCTTGCCTTTTTTAGGGAAATTCTTCTTCTCCCTTCCTTCCTTCTCTGAATTTGATTATGGCTCGAGAAAGGAGGCGTCAGCCGGGTCGACGGGGTCAGGTTGGGGATCCCCGTGACCGCGCCGACGTTTGGAACGGGGAACGAGCCGGTGAAGACCCGGAAAGGGGGATTCCGGCAGTTCCTTTAAACGCCGCGCCGCCTCAGCAGGACGCCGAGGCCGGCGAGGCGGAGCAACCTGAGCAGAGAGAACAGGCTGGGCAGGCTGAAGATTTGCCGCCTGTGCTCTGGGACCTGCTTCCTGGGCATGCTGAATGGCAGGACGCCGAGGCCCAGGACGCCATGGTGAGAAATACCCCATACTCATGGTGGGTCCGGCACGCCAAAACCTACCGGTTTGCCGAGCAAATTGAGTTGCAATATGGCATTTTTGAAGAGGATGGGCATTGGTGCCGAATGCCCTCGCCGACTGATAGGATTCACCGTCCCCCTCCTGGGTATATAGGGGTGTACACTCGGCAATTGCAATACGGGCTTCGGTTTCCTTTGGATCCCTTCGTCAGGGACATTTATATAAAGTACAGGATCTCCCTGTGCCAATTAACACCCGTTAGCATTCGGCGGGTGATGACTTATCTCTGGGTGTGTCGGTTTTTTGATGTTGAACCGAATTTGCACTGCTTCCGAAAGATGCATCAGCTAGTGCAGAACCTCCAGAGTGTGTACGACCAGCACGGGTCTTCAGGCTGGTGGCGAATAGAGAGCCGTCCCCAATATCTGACTATGTGGCCGAACGACTCCTCGGATAAGGATTGGAGGGGTCAATGGGTCTGGGTGAGAGTTCCCGCTGATCCGGAGCATCCATATTTTTTCGGGGCTCCCCGATACCTCTCCAGGCCCGATCCGAACATGCAAGACTTGGGTCCTGAGGACCCTGATGCCACTAGCCACCCGAGTTATGAGCAAATGAGCTTCTTCGGGAAGCAGAATAACCCCGGGGGAGTTGGCCGAATGAGAACTCTCCCGGCCAGATGGCTTCCGGATAACCATTACATCTTCCAAGAGAAGATGCTGGCAGTTGTCGGCCTAAGCCGAAAGTACAGGGGTGGTAAGTATGTTCGGTTGGGGACGAGGACTTTAACTTAATCAATTTTGATTTGTCTTTGATGCTTATTCCCTTAGTCTAACCTTCGTCTGTTCTTTTCAGAGCTGAGCGAAGCTACCTCGGGAATTGATTATAACCGGCTCGGGGTGAACGCTGAAAGGGTCATTCTAGACCGGGCTCCGACAATCACAGCTCCGAAGAACCGTCCGGTGCATCTGCACAAAACGGGTCTTCAAATTGAAGCCGCTGCCGAATACACCAAGCAGAAGCCTTGGTGGGAGAAGCGAGATCCCCTTCGGCCTTTATTACCTGAGGAAGCACAGGCTGCTCAGACAGCAACTGACGTGTCCCGAGTAATCAACTCCTTGGAAGGAGGTGCTGGGACGTCTGGTGCTGCTGAGAGGGATATCCCTGCACCTGGAGCTCAGCCGAGTGTTCCAGTAAGTTCCTGACTTGTTTGGTTTTTTTTTTTTTTTTACTCACACTTTGCTGCCCCCCCTTTCTGCAGTCTGAGGAAGGGAGCGGAAGAAGAGAAGGAAAGGCGCCTGCTCGTTCTGAAGATCCATCTTCGTCAGAATCTGAAGAAATGGACGAGCAGCCCTTAGCAAAGAGAAGGAGGAGGTTAGCCGTGTTGGGGCCTCGGCAGTTTCAGATGGGGATGAGGCCTACCGGGGGCATCCTCATACGGAAGCCTGATGAAGGTAGACGCTCGCCGAGGGCTCCCCCTCCGCCGGAAGCTCCGCGTCCTCAAACCCCCCCTCCGCCTCCCGAAACTCAAGAGATGGAGGTGGACCAAAGAACTCCTAATCCGAAGGGGGGGTTCAGGGACACCCTGCTGAAGAATCTGAGAAGCCGATTGCTGAAGGCTTCTCAGATGATATTGATAGGGAGGTTGACGCTTTTCTTCGTCAACCTGATCTGGGGGATGAAGCAGAGAAGGTCGTTGCTGCTGACCCTGATGGAGACCAACTGGGCTCCGCCGAAGGAGAAGGTCATGCTGAGCCTGAGAAGATTCAGGAGGTTCCCTCTTCTTCCTTCCCCTCATTCCAGACGCTGAACTCTGGAGATTTGGGTTTCTCGGCCCCCCGTATCACAGTCCCAGAACCTGTTTGGGAACGAATTTGGGGCCAAAACCGTGAAGGGGCTGCAGGCTACTTCGGCGACTTAACTAGCATGTCCGAAGTGGACCGAGCGAGGGTGTGGTCGCTGAAGGCCACGGCTGGGATGGGAGAGTCCAGCCGAAGGGTCCCTGACCCTGCAAGAGACAACCAGCGTTTGCTGATGCAGGTACTTAACCATTTAGTTTTGCTTTCATTCAGCTCTTTTTCTCCTTTCTGGCTTTCCTTTTTTATTATTTTATCTATTTTAACTGATGTGCCCTTGCAAACAGGTTGTGCACAATCAGACTCTTACTGTAGAGTTGATTGACACCCTTCAAGACAAGCTGGAGCATGCCTGGGAGGATGCAAAGATTGCCCGGGAGGAGGCGAAGCTTGCTGAGCTGAAGCAGCAGGCTGCTGAAGAGAAGCAGCAGCAGAGCGAAGAGTATGAAAAAAGGGCTGCTGAAGCCATTCAAACCTTCTGCTCGGCTATGGAGAAGGAAGTTTTTCCCCCGGTGATGGAAGGGGAGAAATTCCTTCAGGAGCAAATGGGAGTGGACATCTCCAAATTTAAAACTGCCATCGAGAGCCGAATTCAAGAAGGAGTTGTTGCACAAGCTGAAGTGCAGCAGAAGCTGGAAGCTCTTGAAGCCAGCAGGATGGCTGCTGAAGAGGCTCTACAGGCTAGGGATGTTCACCTTTCTGCTGCCCAAGCTGCTGCTGAGAGCCAGGACCAGAAGCTGAAGGAGTTGGAAGATCAGCTGAGAGTCAAGGGAGATGAGCTGACCCAGGCCAAAACCGAAGCTTCCAACGTCCAGATGTAGCTTAATGAGCAGAAGACTTCTTCCTCCAAACTCTCAGAAGAGTTAGAAAAATCTAAAAAGGATTTGGAGGAGAGTCAAAAGAAGTTGGCTGATGCTGAAGCCCTACTCCAAGTCCGCCTTTACACCCAAGAAGAATATGAGATGGGCTACATTAATGGGTTTAAGGTGGCTCGGAGGTTGGCTCTCCATGCTGAGCCTTCGCTGGATTGGTCCAAGTGTGCGCTTTGGGCTCAGGACCCCGAAGATCCGCACATGCTGTATGCCACTCCTGCTGAGCATGAGATCCTTCAGGCTGAACAAGCCGAGGAGGAAGCTGAGCGGCAGGAGTTGGAGGCTGAACAGCGAGCCGTCGAAGCTCAGGCAAGGGCCCAACCTGCCTCCTCTGCTGCTGGAACCGAGACTACCCCGGGGCTTGGCCCGGTTGATCAGCTTGACCCTCCAACTGAAGCATAGGAAATCAGGCAGTCGTCTTCAGAATCTTGCGGATCAACATGCGCTTAACTTCAGACTCGCCGCTTTCTGAATCTCTTTTTTCCTTATCTTTTTGCTTCAGCTTGCCTTGATGTACAAACAGTTTATTTTTGTTTCTGTACGTATTTCGGCAGCTGTTATTTTCCGCTTGTGGGCGGCTGCCGATATAGTCTTTAATTTATTTGAACTTGTAGCTCACTTTCTGAGCATTGATCATTAATCTGATGTTCCTTTCTTCAACTTCTTTGCCTTATTTTGAGTGCTTTACTGTTTCTGAGCTTGAGAAATTCTCGCAAAAATTTGCTAAGTACAAAGCTTTCGGCTTGAAGAATTCTGCTGAACATAAACTTGCACTGGTAGTGCCTCTTGCCCCCCCAGAAATCTGAAGATTCAAGTCTTTGGATTACTGAGCTGGGTTTTGTTTCTCTATCTTTTAAAAATGGATATCCGAAACACAGGGCCAACTAAAGGCAATGCTTCGGATAATGGCTTTCTGGGATACAAGGCTCAGTTAAGGCAATATCCCAGACTTGTCCATGGACTCGTGTCTTTGGAGAACAAGTCTTACTGAAGTTTGACTTCAACTGAAAGACCAGAGTTCTTTAAAAAGACGAGTTTGTCAGCAATCTGAAACCTAGTTACCCGGAGGCGAAGGTTTCAGACGAGGCTGAATAAAAAATTTCCAACAGTTGCTGTTATCCTTAATTTTCTGTCTATCTTTTAAAAATGGATATCCGAAACACAGGGCCAACTGAAGGCAATGTTTCGGATAATGGCATTCTGGGATACAAGGCTCAGTTAAGGAAATATCCCAGACTTGTCCATGGACTCATGTCTTTGGAGAACAAGTCTTACTGAAGTTTGACTTCAGCTGAAAGACCAGTGTTCTTTAAAAAGACGAGTTTGTCAGCAATCTGAAACCTAGTTACCCGGAGGCGAAGGTTTCAGACGAGGCTGAATAAAAACCCTTAAAGAGTAGATAAAACAAAGAAAACTTTGAAAGAATAAAAAGTTGCAAATATTTATATAAATGGTGGCTCCAAGGCCTTTCATTAATTCAAAATGTACTTACAAAGATTGTTCTGCCCCGAAGGGTTTACACATGATATTTATTCAGTACATCAGCGTTCCAGTGATTTTTCAACTCAGTTCCATCCAACTGCTGAAGTCGGTATGTCCCTGGCTGAAGCTCATCACAGATTTCGTAGGGCCCCTCCCATGCAGCTGAGAGTTTCCCATGGATTCGGCCTTTCTGAACCGCAGCAGCATTCCGAAGGACAAGGTCTCCAATTTTGAGAGGCCTTGCATGGACCCTCCGGTTGTAAAATTTGCTGATTCTCTGCTTATAAGCAGCCATTCTGTCTCGGGCTGAGTCTCTTACTTCGTCGAGGAAATCGAGAGATTCCTTCATCAGTTGCTCATTCTCAGCCGAGA